CATCGCGGTTTCTATTTTTATAGCAAATAGTTCCTTTTACAAATTTTGACAGAGCAATGAGAAGAATGTGATGTAAATACGCTTTACATTTTGAGCATTCTGGTCACAGTTATACTTGTCAAAGCATTTTAAATAAACGGTCAGTCAAAGAAAAGTTCAGTCAGTCATTTACAATGAAGAACTTCTTGCGTACGTACATCAGTTCAAGTTGCCATTCCACATTAGCACACAAAGATCAGATTGTCAATTCAAACCTCATAATAGTAGAGGTAGTAGAAGCATTTGTGGTAAAAATAAAAGTAAATTAGTAAGCGAAGATATCATTCGAGAAGTATATCCCAGAAGAATTGACTTTCAAAAAAAGAGAGAAACAGTCATAAGGAATTCTGTAGATTAGAATTTTAGGGAAGATAAAGAATGGATGCCACTGAGCCATTGCAAATGATTTTGATCCTCGTCATTCAGGGTCTCTAACCATCGATTAATATCATGTCACAGATCCCAACTAGGTGATCTACTCTTACCAAATTTGCTTAGTCCACTTGACAGCGACTTCATGGATTTGTGCTCCGTTTTGGTCTAGCCACCTCTAGCTTACTTCCAGCCTACCCCTACACTGCTAAACTTAGCTTGACGAGTCAGACGGTGACTGGCATCCGTAACACATGCCCCAACCACCTCAAGCGATGAAGTTTCAATACTACTGGTCTGTTATCCTTACCTAATACACTTTTCCTAACAACAGCATTTCTTACTGGAAACACAGAGGATATACGAGCAACGTTTTGAAGACACCTGTGATTGAAAACCAATAACCTACGAATATCCTGTACTCTTATTGGCCATGTTCCTCATCAATATAGTGTGATGCAGCGAAATGCTGCCTAGCAGACCAGTCATTTTGTTAGCAAACGAACATCTAGCCTATGCCATAAATGACGCAGGTTGGTAAAAGCCAACCGAGCCTTCTGTATACGCACGTTTTCTTAGCGTCTTCACAAAATAGAACTATGTCATCGGCATATTCTAAGTAGAGAAGTGGATCTCCTGTTAAAAGTTTAATCCGTGAAAAATCGTACGAGGTAAGTGTTATTTCTAAAGCATGTCCATGATAAAATTGACAGAGAGAGTGGACAACCTTGACGAAAACCAATGGTGTCAATCAGTTTCGAATACAGTTTTCCATTAGCTCTCACTCAACTAGTGGTTCTGGAGTTGAGAGGTTGTATGAGGGTGATGTACTTCCTTTGTAATCCTTTGAATGACAGATACTGTCACAGGACCTCACGATCGACAGAGTTATATCCTGTTTTTTGTCGAGAAATACTAGTATTTTGGGTCGTCTGAACGGGTGTCTGTGTTTTAGGACCTGACTTGGTGTGAATGTCTGGTCTGTACCTTCACGTCCAGATAGAAAACCAGCCTGGTTTTCTCTAGTCTGCTCTGCACGAGCTCCGGTTGCGCGTTGAGTTGTTATTGGAGCCAGTAATTTAGAAACTATTTATACGTTAGACTGATTCATCTGTGATTGTCACAAGAAGACTTTTGTTCTATTTCATAAATTTGGATAATCAGTGAACGAGACTGATCATATAGGGTGACGTTCAGTTTCCAAATTCTACCTAATATCTCAGTCAGTCTAAATTCTTGAGATAGTGTAGAAAATTGGTAACTCAGGTGGATGATTGTAGTGGGGTTTCGTTCTGTGCGGCGGAATTTTCGGTTGTGGAACTTTCATTGATCGTCCTAACAACATCATCAGCAAAATTTCCAGATGGAAATGAAATATTAGAATTTCCCTACGTTCGACCCATAGCTTATTCTATTAAGCTCGATCATGATTGGTTGTTATGGACCTTAAAATGTATTTGTTTGCACCTTTATTTTGATTGTAACCCTCTTTGATCTGTTTCTTGTTCCCGTATAAGGAATGAATAGAATTTGGATAGAACTGGAAAGGGCGGCCAAAGACAAAGTAGGTAAGATGATACTGGTAGGTAGCCAATGCTCTACGGAATATAACAGGCGTAAGTAAACAAAAACATATTTACTTGGATCTGAAAGATCTGTGTTCTGTCGAGTTGAGTTTGACTATGATCACCACCACAGACCGATTTAGTGCCACTTGTCAAGTAAAATCTTCCCGTAGGGTTGAGATAAGAAAGAAAACATGTTCGGATAGCAAATGTACATTTGTTGGTGATCTCGTGGTATCGAAATAATACTGAGATCGTGCCAAGGCAAGACTAACTTGCGTACGTGAGTGAGCTCAAGATCACAGGTAACGGAAAATGTGTTTTTTGTACAAATAAACATAATGCTACAGGAAAGCAATCACTGGTATAACTAGATATAGTAATAAGTGTTCACCAATTGCATTCTCTTCATAAAAGTAGATCCCCACAGGTCTAAGTAGGCCTATGGTCCGGTTGGGTTGAATACCTTTGGCTTAGAAGACTTACGCCCATCTATTGAATTCATACAAGTGATAGTACAGTTTCATCACTGCCATATACGTTCATCGGCATCATAATATTATTTCGTGCTTGTAAATTTCTCAACATAGAAAGCAAACGAGGTATACGATTTGATAAATAACTCCTCCGAATAAGAAACATATTATAAGCTAACAAACACTATTATCCAGTGCACCACAGTTTCTGAAAAAAAATGTTCATTTACTTACTGCATAAATTTGCTTTAGGATGCAAAATGATTTACTTATTAATACTTCAAATGAGGCAGTACATCATGCTCAATGAAGCCTATGGTACTTTTTCAAGGAAAACCTAGATTGGGCAGAAGCTATGTGCTTTTAACCAGCCGTTAGACTGTCAAACTCTATCTGGAAAGGCTGATGAAATATTACAGGTAATGCTTAGCATTAGCCTATTCATAACATCCGTTAGGATAACTGGAAGACAGGAAAAATGAGTCAGCAAGTTCAACATCACTTCTGACCAACATTAAGATTATGATTGATGGATAAACGAAGCTTAGTCAAACAAGGTCAACGTGAATCAGCCTGTTGGTGGTCATACAACACTAAAACCAGTATGTTTGTTCATCAACGAGACCTTGAAGTCTGTCTTCTCAGAATGAAGTGATCATTACATGTCTCAAAACGAACAGAGCGAACGACAACGCTCAAAAAACAAGTATATGTGTTCTTTTTCACAGTATATACGGCACAATCGCTACAAAATGTGTGAACTGTTTTAGGTACTTCCATTTCTCCTTTACTGTGAAAAAGTTTCTAGGTCAGACAGTGATGGCAATAGCCGTTAGTCTTCAGACTTCCATTAGATTCTTTTACTTCCTGGACAAAACTCCTGGTCGTAAACCTTCATTAGATACTAGATTCGAAGTCAGTTATTCCAGTTTCTTCACCTAGGCGACCCGATATGAAACGTGGAAAATAATCTTTAAGTGCGGTTAATTAAATTGACATAAAAATGTTGTAGGTGCAAGTAATAGATAAGACCTCAGAGTTAGAATACTGTTAAGTTGGGCGTCTTTTATCGTGGGTTGTCGATTGAGGTCATCCGACATTTGTGTTCGTTCATTTTGGCCTTGCTGTCGTTGTCTTACAGATACACCTGTTTCGGCTCTCATAATATCTAATTTGACCAGAGAGAATATTTTTCTCACAATACCAAGCGCTTCAACTTAGTCCTCATAGTTTCTACAGTTCACAGCGATCATTTGCGGAGACTTATTAGTCGTGAGGTGTGATGGACGGGGCAGCCGATAGACGCTAGTTGCCATGGTTTTTTAAAGATCTGTACTATATAAAAGCCATCTCCATTGTTGCACACCGTGTGTATGAGCTCCTTTCAGGTTATCTATACCAAGTGAGGCAATTTTTGAACTAGCATAGTGTTTCGTCTTTGGATGTCTTTTCATGTGCTTGCATAGGCTCGTGCTGACCATGGTTTATCATGCCTGACACATATCGAGGGGGAAGGTTTAGCCAAGGTTCTCTAACATGTTAGGAGGACTTTTTCTGTGATTTTTTCCGGGTTAAAGTTTACCATTTATGAAGGGAATTTTCATTTAGCTATATAGTGACTCATGTATAGACTGCATAGTTTGGCCAGAGTATTAATCAATTCAAGGATACGAAGTATTAATCCTACTGTTTTTATCATAGTTAGATCTATTAGCCTCCGACACTGGGAAATCAAAAAAGACTGGCGAATTTCGTCTTATGTCCTTGTCCCTGATATGTGGTGGTTTGAAGTTGAGGTGTTGCGGTTAATGGAGCGGTTGTCAATATGTAAGATCTGGTAGCATCGCTATTAATGAATATGTTACTAAAGACGTTTGAGAGTGAACAACGGGGTGATCTGTAAAAATAAAATATGCGAGACATAATATTTGAGAGGGGAAAATCATGACAATAAATGGAGTGAATATTTATTACACAAGAATAGAACCCGAATGACACCAGAAAACGCTAAGTTATCTCCGACCGTCCCAGTAGGTGACTTAACGTAGACACAGTAACCCTTACCCATACATTGTGTTTGTTAGTGAATAAATGTGAGTATGTCGCTTTTGAATCAACTACGAAGAGAGCAGTTGTCGGAAGGCAGTTAAACCTAACGCACCGTGGTTCCATGTGATATGATTGTGTTGTCCGTATTGTTACTCTGAATGTTTAGCAATCAGTATAAACATAGTTTTTGTCCTTGCGAACGTCTAAATCTCTCAATCTGGTATAGGAAAATGAATTTTTTACTGTCGAAAGTCAGAGGAAAACGAAGACTCGTCAGTTTTGAAGAGCGCGCGTCGCATTTAATAGTTAATGAATAACTATAACGAGAAACTAATTTGTGACAAATTCATAGTCATACAGAAGTATACTGTAACGATAACAGCACAGAGGTATGGTCAAATTACAAAGACCCTTCTATTGTCAAGGATATTTGTCCGCCCACGTCTAAGGGTCGGTTGAGAGAGCGGTTTTTGAAGCTCTGTAAATTACCTTCAAATGTATGGAGGTTGACAATCAAAAGATCGAGCAGGATAACGAGGTGTCATCAGAGCTGTCTAATACTGGGGAAGTTTTGTCACAAGACATTAGTGATAGAAAGGATGAGGACGAAGAAGAAGAGGAGGAAGAAGAAGAAGACAAAATTGTAGAGAAATCTCACAACAGCCGTTTTCATAAAAGAAATAAAAGATTCCCGAAACAAATCGAAGGGGTTGATAATGCATTTGTTGCAATAGAGCCAAAATCTGGAAAGGAAGTCATTTGGAACGAATGTATTCTACCTGAGAAAAAAACTGACAAAGAAGTAGATATCACTTTTCAGTGTTAATACTAGATACCAGAACAGATACCTTTCATTGATCAAAAAACTAAAGAAAAATTCGCACCCTTTTCTCGTACGTTTCCTAGACGCTTGGGTATCCAAGACGGAGGAGGGACCACGCAAGCTTGTCTTCATCACCGAGCGTCTCGATGAGTGTACACTGAAACAATTTTTGTGCAATTCTGCGAGGAATAACCGCGTTAGTATAATAACTACACTTATGATTTTTTTAGTTGTGGAAGAGACATGTGGGCCAGCTCCTTTCTGTCTTGATGTTCCTTCATCGCCTTGGTGTCGCGCATGGAAATCTGACTAAGGAGTCAATTTATTATCAAAACTCGGGAAACCTGAGAGTTGGATTGTGTAAGCTATAATTCCTGGTTATTTGTTTGTGTTCAGTCGCCCTTGGTAGATGTCTGGACCAAAAATCTGAGACGTTTGATGTATATTCTCTTGGTGTTGTCTCTCTGGAGGTAGACGAAATAAATTAATGCATTGTGTTTTTTGAAATGATTGTAGATTGCCGTGTGGACTCCCACTGAGTTTCCACCAAATACAGACTTGAGTGAAAGGTGTCAACAAATGCTATCGCGCTTAGATAACAACAGTCAAAAAAGCTTTATTGAGGCGTGCTTTGATACTGGTTCTACAACAAAAGGTCTTATCAAACGACTACTCAATCATCCGGCTGTTACGGAAGTGCCAATCCTGAAGCTGTTATCGGCCAGAATGATTGTCAACTCAAGTAATGTCCCATCTTACTGTGATGTGTTGTATTAAGCTTACATAATTTCCATGTTTCTCGGTTCCCATCATCAAGCCCTAATACTTTTCTGATCAGTGTCTCTTACGAAATTTTTGTGTTAAATATTTTCCGTTTGTTATGTCTCATTAGCTCTAGTTATTTTTATATGTTACATGCATAGTTCAACAGAAGTCAGGTTCGGACAGTTGTGCTGATTATCCTGTTTTGTTCAGACCGTAAAGCTCTTAAGAACACTGAGTTGTCAGCCGAAAATTCAACCTCCCTAGTTTAATTTATTCAAATTAGTGGCTTCAATTAGTCAACCGCTAAATTTTTGGTTTATAAGATTACCCACCTACCATTAGGTTTTAGAAGAATAGTTCCACCGGATCTAACATATTGACTAATTTTGAAAATTAGGATCCGTTTGTAGATAAAGAGTAAATCAGTATGATGCTCTGACTTTTTAAGCCATGTCACCCGGAAATCTCCAACCCCTTAACTGAGTTCGATTTAGATCAAGTTTATCAACAGTACGGCAACAAGAAATGTGTCAAATGAAGAGTTATGTTTTCTGGAGTAATGGGACAACCATATAACAACTACCAACCTTAATGAGTATGAATAATCAAAAGTATTATTCAAACAATAACGTTTACCGAAACTATATTTTGTCAATAATGGAGACCACAACAACTCTGCAGGATTGCTATTGACATCTATTGTGAACTATGGGAAGTCTTTGTGATCATACTCAAGGATTTGTAGGCCAATACAACTACTTTTTCTGACGATGCTCGTAAATTGGTTGACCATCCATTTCTTTAATCTTGTTAGCAAACATCGTGCGGTGTAAAAGTCACTAGCATCTAATCTTTAAAACGTACCCAGGCCATTGACGACGGGCCTCAAATGTTCTCAATTGTCCAAACGCACGTTTCGGCAGATTGACATTACTTGTACACTATCCACGAAGTATAAAAACTAGTCTAACATTCTCAGTTCAGAAAGGAAAAGGTTCAAGAGCTCGAAGAACTACTATATTATACCCGATTCTTGTAGATTTTTCATAAAGTTACCAACATCCCTTTCCAGAGTTCTCAGTTTGAAGTGCCTTTACAATTGGACTTGAACAACTGATTCGCTGATTGTTTAATTACAAAAGGTTTTATCTTAATAAATGATGACCATGTATAAAAGTTTAATTAAACGTCTATTCCTCTTCTCATTATTTAGTTTCTATTGGTTTTAATTAGGATTGGTGTTCCGTCGAATGGTAAACTAAATGAAATTAGTATGGTGTGTAACGAAAAGCCTGCCGAAATTTAATAAACCCTAATCATTAGCATTAGCAGTGTGAGGTGATAAAGGTATGCGGGGATAATAAGGTTATTAGGAGATGAGGGAGGGACTCAATCGTGAACAAGACGTTTTGTTAGGGGTTAGAGAGCGTTTGATACTACACCATGAAGGTAAATTTCTTCATTGAGAAACCTGAAAAGAAAGCTGCGATAGTGGTTATCTGAATGGATCGGGAGCGTAACTATAGACAACGGGTCGGTTGAGTCATCACGATAAGCAAGCCCGACTACCATATCATGATAGGAGCTACAATAGGGAAATTGCCAAGTAATAAATTGTGGTTTACTTTCCTTGCTCAGTTGATCCTTTTTGATTCTAGAAGGTTGTGTATATAGAACGATTTGTAATGCAAAATTATGTTCATATTATAAACAGATATTCCCGTCCTCATTCTACGATAATATTAAAACTACATAGGATATGGGCTGATCAAAAGCCACTTATTTCATTAAGGAAAGTAATAGTACATAGATGTCCAAAACGAACCAAGAAATTAGATATGAGCAGTAAACTTGCTTTATTGAGTATAGATGTTGATTCATTCAGTAAATCATTGTATGTGTACATCTGTGTACTTATTTTTCAGTGATTTCCGTTTCCAATGAGGATGGTGGTACGAATGAACCAACAGGGTTTGTCAGTCTATTAAAAGATTATCTCAGTCGCTATGAAGATGAAACTGTTATTATGGAAGTTCATTTTCCGCATGATGATTTAGTGAAGTCTAAATCTTGGAAGGATTTCCGATCAAACTTTACTCTTACCTCCAAGTACCTTGAAGACGTCAGGTAAGCTTTTTGTATTTATTTCACTTTTGGTTTTCCCTACATCTACTGCCCTATTTTAGTTCACCAACTTAGCATACTGCGATATATAGTTGGTTTCATAGTTATCATTGTTACTCTATCATGAAAACTGTGAATCTCTGCAGTTGTCTGTAAATTCGGGTCATGCTTGTTGTCAGCAGAAACTCAATGAAGAGATCGAGCAATAACTACAAAAACTGTCCAGTTGTAAACATGTCGAACTCATTTCTGAGGACTGAAATTATTGAAGACTGTCATAAAAATATAGTCGTCATTGCTAAATTACTCACTGTGCAGTGGAATTTTTTTTTATCGATTTGGAATTACCTGTTTCGTTCACATAAGTTTTAGATGTAATGCTCTCTACTTCATTATTTTAAGTTACTCCTTTTTTTAAAAAAATATGAACCAAAAATGATGGGTTTATTGGCCAAAGTTTAAATATCTGTACTGAAAAAATCTTATTTCAGTTCATACTCATTATGTTCAAGTTTAGTCGAACGGGTAAGTGATGAAAGCCTTTAGTTGGAGGCAGACAGAGATACAAACAAAACAGAACTTTGTACGTATGTACGTCAGTTCAGGTTGCTATGCCGCATTAGCAGAGACGCAACTATCAGTTCAAATCCAATAGCAGTAGCAATAGTAGAAGTATTAGCAGGAATGGAGAAGATGAGGGTATAATTCAGTGAGATAAATTTAGAAGGAGAAAGATAGAGACTATGAGGAATTCAGAAGGTTAGAATTTGAGAACGCAAAGAGTGGATGCACCTGCGCCATTGCAAACGATTCTGAGCCATGTCGTTCAAGGTCTCCAACCATTGGTGAATTTCGTCTCTCGGATCCAACCAGTCAGCCTACATCTACCAACATGACTCAGTCCACTTGTCAGTGACTTCAAGGATTTGTGCAATGTTTTGGTTTGGCCACCCATAGCTTTCTTCCAACCTACTCCTACACCACAAAACAGCTCATCTAGGCGGTCAGTGGTTAGGTGTACGTAACACGTGTCCCAACCACCTCAACTGATGAAGTTGCAATACTTCATCTATTGATTTGCCCTCCCTACCTAAAACTCGTTTCCCAACGACAGCATTGCTCATACGGTTGTCCCACAATACTCGAGCAATGCTTCGAAGGCACCTATGATCGAAAATCAGCAACCTACGAATTTGTTCTACTCTGACTGGCCATGTTTCACATCCATAAAGTAAGACGGAGCGAACTGCTGCACAGTACACTCGTCCTTTAGTCAGCAAGCGGATATCTCACCTACGCCTTAGTAACGTAAGTTGGCAAAAGCCAATCAAGCTTTCTGTATCCGTGCTGAGATTTCGTCAGTCACCAGGCTATCAGCACTAATGAGACTCCCGAAATAAGTGAAGCGGTCTACACGTTCGACTACTTCACTCCATATCACTAGTTCAGGTGCCGATGCAACCCAATCTTGAAGCAACATTTTGCATTTCGAGGGTGAGAACCGCATCCCAAACATACTTGCATTGTTGCTTAGGGTAGTCAGAAGACTACATTTTGTTAGCGTCTTCACCGAATAGGATTATGTCATCAGCATATTCTAAGTCAGGAAGCTTGGCTTCTAGTAAAACGTTCACTCCTGAAGAGTCAGACGATGATAATAATAAAAGCATATCTACTACAAAGTTAAACGAGAATGGGCAGAGTGGACAACCCTAGTAGAAAGCCTGTATAAGGTTATTGTACTTCTGTGGTACACCTTCTAATGGCAGACACTGCCACAGAACCTCACAGTCAACAAAGTTGAATGCCGCTTTAAGGTCGAGAAATACTAATATTGTGGGGCGTCTGAACGTGTGTCTTTGTTCTAGGAGCTGACGTGGTGTAAAAATGTGGTCTATAGATCTGTAGATCGTGAGGTTCTGTGGCAGTGTCTGTCATTGAAAGGTGTACCAAAGAAGTACATTAACCTTATACAAGCTCTCTACTCGAACACCACTGGTCGAGTGAGAGCTTAGGGCGAACTGTCAACGGAATTCCTTACTTCAAGTGGTGTCCGTCAGGGATGTCCACTTTCTCCATTCTTGTTTAATTTTATCATAGACATGCTCCTAGAAATAACCTTATCGTCGTCCGAATTTTCTGGAGTAGACCTTTTACCAGGTGGCTCGCTTATTGACTTAGAATATGCCGATGACATTGTCCTACTTGGTGAAGAAGCTGACAAAATGCAGAGTCTTCTGACTACCCTAAGCAACAATGCAAGTATGTTTGGGATGCGGTTCTCACCCTCGAAATGCCAAATGTTGCTTCAAGATTGGGTTTCATCGGCACCTGAACTAGTGATAGCGAGTGAAGTAGTCGAACGTGTAGACCGCTTTACTTATCTGGGGAGTCTCATCAGTGCCGATGGCCTATTGACTGACGAAATCTCAGCTCGGATACAGAAGGCTCGACTGACTTTTGCTAACCTGCGTCACCTATGGCGCAGGCGAGATATCCGTTTGCTGACTAAAAGACGAGTGTACTGTGCAGTGGTTTGCTCCGTCTTACTTCATGGCTGTGAAACATGGCCAGTCAGAGTAGAAGATATTCGTAGGTTACTGGTTTTTGGATCATAGGTGTCTTCGAAGCATTGCATATCATGGGACACCCGAGTGAGCAACGCTGTTATTAGGAATCGGGTGCTGGGTACGAATGGCAGGTCAATAGATGAGGTGAGGTGGTTGGGACATGTGTTGCGTATGCCCAACCACCGACTACCTCGACGAGCTTTGTTTTGTGGTGTATGAATAGGTTGGAAGAAAGTTAGGGGCGGCCAAACCAAAACATGGCAGAAATCCATGAAGTCATTGACGAATGGACTTAGCCATGTCGGCAATTGTCGACTACCTGGTTGGGGTCCGCGAGATGATAATAATCGATGGTTAGAGACCTTGAATGACATGGCTCAAAATCGTTCGCAATGGCGCCGGTGCATTTATTCTTTGTGTTCTCTCAAATCCTTACCTTCTGGATTCTTGAACACCTCTAGTTTTGACTTTCTAAACTTTTCTCATTTAATCATACTTCTTGAATAATATCTTCTAATCCTAACCTATCCGATTACTTCTAATACCTTTACTACCTCTTCTACTATTGTATTTGAATTGACAGTTACATCTCTGTGCTGATGTGGTATGGCGACATGAACTGATGTACTTACGTACGAAGTTCTACGTTGCATCTGACTGACTGACTGGCTGATACAGCCACGTCCAGGTCTGAAACCAGCCTGGTTTTCTCTAGTCTGCTCTTCACAAGTTTTGGTTAGGCGTCGGAGTATTATTGAGGCCAATATTTTTGATGCTATATCAGTTAGACTTATTCCCCTGTAATTGTCACGAAAGGACCTTTTTCCTTTCTTGTAGACTGGGACAATCAGTGATTGAGACCAGTTAGATGGTATTACGCCCAGTTCCCAGATTCTAACTAAGATCTTACTCACTCTGACTGCTAAAACTAGACCACCGTCCTTAAAAATCTCAGGCATCAATCTATCGGGTCCTGCTGCCTTCCCTCGCTTCAGATTTCCTATCGCTTTTCAACTTCATTAAGATTCGGAGGACTTAAGTCGATTTGCCATTCGGGATGACTGGATATCGTGGGTAACTAATATGTGGCTGAAGGCTAGTTGGACTGGTTCCTGAAGTGTTGTACCGATCGACCCAATCTCCCTGATTGAGAGTGAATAATAGTCCCGTCCTTTTCCGAGATAGTCTCACTCACATTCGGATTCCTAATACCGCTTTCCTTGATTAGGCGGAACAACTGTCTGGTGTTGCCTGTCGCCGCTGCCTTTCCCATCGCTTTCGCCACCCACCACTGTTCACGGTCGTCACGTAGGCTTTTTATCAGCCTGCGCTTAAGCTGACTTCATTCTTCATCATGTTCAGAGTCAGGAGGCACGAGTTTCCAAGCATCCATCAGTTCGGTGGATGCTACTGAGATCCACAGCTTCATTATAGCCTTATGGTTAACCTTACTAGCAGATATCACTGCTGTTTCTACAGCCTTTTTGATATCATTGCAGCCTGCCTCCGGATGCGAATCGCTCACATGGTCGCCTAACTAATTTTCGAGTTGTTCCTGAAATATATTCTTAGCTATGCTATCATTAGGTAAAACCATAAGAGGCTTCCTTACGGTGTCTTTCCTACGTCCAGTAAGCCTCAAACAAATACACGCTCGCACTAGGGAATGATCTGAATCTAAACATGTGCCCCAGAACGAGCGACACTCTTCTATCGAACCCTTCCATCGGTGGCTGATGGCGATGTGATCTAGTTGCGTCCAACGTTGAGACGACTTTAGAGGTCGCCAGATGCTTTTCCTTATGCCTGAAGTTAGTGTTTGCTAAGAATAGGCGGTTGTCTGAGCATACTTGCAACAGACGGTCGCCATTGTCTGTTTTCTGAGCCGCGACACCATAAGATCCTCCCAGGTGACTTTCATTTTCACTTAGTCTATCTACTTGAGCATTGAAGTCACCAGCCATTATTACTATGTCAGAGCGCCTAGCTTTTCGGAGGAGGTCGGAAAGATTTCTGTAGAACTCATCTTTCACCTCGTCAGAACTGCAGTCAGTGGGAGCGTAGTCAGATACGTCAAAGAGGAAACGACCGGTGTCCCTATCTTTCCGAATCCTTATTGTCCCTTTCAGTCGGACAGCGCACAAGCGACTATCGACTGGGATCCAGTCTAGGAGATATTGTTCAGCTCTAAGACTCAATGCTATACCTACGCCAGCGAGACCCCGGGAAGCAGTATCAGGGCTTCCAGATATACGAAGAGTAAATCGAGCTGCTTCTTTATTTTGACAAGGTGAAATCAGATTGATAGTTTTACTAGGATGTATGCGCGTTTCCGAGACACAGCATACATCGATTGAGCGAGATTATAATGTTCTAGCTAAGGAAGCCTGTTTCCCTATTTGACACAATGTCCTGACATTAAATGCTCCAACATGTGATTTAAAATGAGGTTTTAGGAGACCACGGAGAACGTTTCGTGGAATCGCATCGTTTGGATCAGCGGTGCAGTGTGATTAAAGAATGTGAGTTAATCGTGGAGATAAGAGAGATATTAGGGGGTGTAGGAAGGATTTGATTATGAGCAATTTGGTCTCGCGTGCTGTTATGGGTATGAAGGCGGTTGTCACTTCCCTGCTGCCCACACCGTGGAAGGGTGTTTCTTGAGGAAGCTGAAAAGGAAAGCGGATTAGTGTCGGTCTTAGAAACCTGGGAGCGTGACCGCAGAGTTCAAGGGACAACTGCTTGAGTCCGGTCACGTACGGCCTTTTTATGAAATGTTTTTTGAGTATTAGCTCCGCTCTTTCAAGCCCTTAGTGGGCACCTTTACCTCCGGAGACGGGAATCCGTGAGGTAGGATGAGGTGTGACATTTTTAGGGTCGACCTTTTCTAACCCTTCGTTACTTGTGAGGAGGTGGCATCGCTGCAGATGCTCGTTTCCGAGGGAAACATTTTACTGTTGTCACACCCCTCTGCAGTCAGCAGTGCGACATTGCACTCAGACGTTGAGTAGCTGCTTTTAGTCTCATCGTTCTGCAATCGACCTGCCTGGCGTGGTAGAACGTACAGGAACATATGTTCCAGCCAATATAGCTCGGTTGGGTCATCACGATAGGTAAGCCCGATCACCACTTCAGGTACGGTCGGGTTAATTGGATATTGGAGTTTTATATCCTACATTTATTAAGTAGCATAAGAATTGCAAATGCTTCTTGTTTAAAATAAAGTTGATTCCTCAGTGAATAATGTATATAGTCTATAATGTCCAATGCAGTGACATTGAAGGCATAAATCAAAGGTATTGCCGATATTTATTGTTATAATTTAGTAGAAAACCGGTATGATAATCTGTTATTCATGACATTGTTGGTTAAATATTACTGAAAGCTAGATATAACTGGTCCTTAATAGTTTGTTCGTTGTCATCCGTTAAACCCGTAACTATTCATAATGTTTCACTTTTCTCAGAAACCTTTATTAATGGGTTTCCTCATGACTCAAGTGTTCCCATATTTTTAGCCTTATTTTCTTTGTTTTCACGTTAGGAATGGATTCTATCCGTTATTTGGATGCCACTGGGATGCTTACCAAGGAGAAGAGGAAGATAGTACATTTCCTAACTATTCAGGAATATCAGGGTTCCCTCCTAGTAATGGTCTGTCAGGTGCAAGTGGCTATGTTAAAAATGATCCATCTGCTTCTGTTGGGAATTCTTCTTGTACATCCGCCACCCCAAGCGCTTGTGGTTCGTGTAAAAACTCTACTGCGTCAAAAATTACAGATCTAGCTATTGGCTCACAGTTGGCTCCAGAGGATCTGGTTTTTATGCAGTCTGAAGATGCTTCAAAAGGTTTGATGGTCATTTAGTCTGTTTTGTTTGCTGAGTTGGTTGTACTTGTAAAACTGTGTATATAAGTATTATTTATGTATAATGCATAGACTATTTTCATTTGGAAAGTTTGCTGATAGATTCTTTGTCGTGTCGACTATATCATCAATAATAATGTGCATATTCATTTCGATGTAACATTTTACTTCATATCTACCAGTTTTGACTTCGAATATATGCCTACTCCCATAAACGTTTTTTTGGTCTTCGTTTTTAGGTTGCTCTTGCTTCAATGCCTGTACATCCCAAATAAATAATACTAACTACATCCCACAAATCGATCCTAATTGTTCATCTAAGGTGATAGATAACGACTTAAAAAGGGATGATGTTTCGACTAGAGCTGGTGAGGTTATTGGTGTGGGTTCTATTCCAAAAACTGATGAAGACATTCATCTTTTGTCTAAGGCAACGCCTTCATTGAATACACCCCGACTACCGGAAATGGGTCATGCAGAACTGAAATTTGCAGATAAGCCTTTTGGTAAGAATCGTTTAATTTCCCTAATTACACTCTGTTTGCAAGATTCTAATTACAAATGGAAGCGTTGTTTGTAGAATAGTCGCTAATGTGCAGTTGATTTGGTTTTACACCTCCACTAAGGATGATTTGTATAGAAATTGGTGCATTCGAAAGAAACAGCTACTAAATATATGACAAACTTTAATCTTCGTAACTAGCGACCTAATAGCATTCTAACTCGTAGACTTAGCTATTATATTGACATAGTGGATATGAAGGTGCTACCTTGATTCAAAATGAACTAGAACGAATGGCGAAAGTAGGACTGGATCGCTAGGCTCGGGGAGTGATCCTCTCAAAAGCCACTTGTCTTTTTTGAGGAGTTTAGGTAATGTCCCAGCCCACGTACTTAGGAAAAAAGGATACCAATGAAGGAGACGATCACAAGTCACTTATCTGGCATATTAATATTTAGAAAATATAAAACTGCTTGTTTTATGATATTCAATTTTTCCAGTTTCAATTTGACGCGTTATTTTGTTTTATTTCCGTGTTACTGAAGCGAATTTCAATCTTTAACTTAACCGGTTGTCGATTTAGAAAGCTATGTTCTATGTTCTCTGTCTGTTCAGGATAGACGCCTTGAAATGACATTTAAACTGTCCCATTTCTCCGACCATGTCGATCAAATTGCCTTATACTTGACTAATTTCCAAATGCCATCATTCCTCCAGTTCTGCCATCGATAACGTACTAGTAACAGCCCTAAATGAAGTATGCGGTGATGGTTTGAATCCATTTTTAGGAAAAAGGCTTCTATAAACCTCAAGGATTCAAATAGCGTTGTATTCCTGCATGGTAGAACACGTGCTATCCCAGTCTCAGCCAGTCGGCAGTCAGTATTCTTAAGTATGGACCGTGCTTTTCACCTCCTGAATGCCAAGCACTTTCACAAGATTAATGGAATCTTGTGTCTCTATTCTCATTTTTGGTGAAACGACGGAAACAGTTTAAAAGTTGGTATATCTGTGAGCTAAATGAGTGCTGTAGGTTGCATAAATGACGGGATCAGTATGTTAATAGTAAAAGGTGGGGCGATTTATGGCATTCTAGGCTACCTTTGGCGCCGTAATGATGTTATTGTGACTGTGAGGCCGTCTACGTATCGGTGAAATCACTTCTTTGTGCCTTTGAAACCCAGGGGCTTCCAAGTTGTTTATTATTTGGAAATTTTGGAACTGAGTGGAAAAAGCGGAGAAATGGTCAGTTTACATGTCCCCGTGGTACAATAAAAGAAAGCTGTGTATGACTGACATCTATCGGTCCATTAAAACACCCAGGTAACTAGGTATCAAACAACTCGGTGGTTTGAGAAGTTATCGATCATAGCTTGAAATTGAAGTCAGTGGTGATCCTGTTGTGATCTTTCTTACTTTCTTTGTAGATATGAGATGAACCCTAAACGAATAATCATTTCTTGGTTGTATTTTTATCTTAGCCCTGGTTCAACACTATTTTTGTGCACTCATAAATTGTGCATCTCTTTTCCGCTTCCTTTCCTTTGCAATAATATCACTTCATTTTTGTGATGCATTCTGTTTTTGGCGCCTACTGTACCAAAATGTAGATGTTATAAACAAAACAAATAAATAGAACCCAACACACTATTTAGTAGTGACGAGTTTCCTGGATACTTTTTCTCATTTTGACCTAAATATTATGTAAAACACAAGGATGGTACATTTTCAAATACTCTGTCAGTGTTCGTTTATTTTCACGTATACATCGAATGCAGGTTGTGTGCAGTTCAGGTGGCGGAAAAGACTTTAGTGTCTGAATAGCCACTAATAATTGTTTGCTGTAGTTCCATTGAAAGTTTCACTTCGCTCTGCTTTCAAAAACTTGTAGCAGACTCATATCATACATTTTGATCATTGAGAGCATACACCACAAACGTATACTAGTTTGGATGGCTGTAGGAGCACAACTGCCATGGAACAGCTGAGAGTGGGTAGAGTCCACCCTCACTCTCGAAATGCTCCCATATAGCCATGTATACATATTTAGCCACTACATTCTAGCGGCAGAGGTGTTTTTTACGTAAGTGAAAGGACGAAGAGCGAATGTTTGGCTCTGTAACCGGGTTAGTGAGTACGAGGCAATCACCTAGGGCATCTGGGAACCCTGAGTGCAAACCAATAGCTCCAGTATCCTGACGGAACGAATGGCGTACGAATCTGTCGTTGGTGACTTGCTACCATGGAACTGCATCTCCTGACGTTGCTCTACTATGGATTAGATAATTGGGTGAAAGGCTTGAGGTATGGCTCTCTGAAAATACCAGTTGTTTGGGTTTGGGCGTCTGATAGTAACCCAAACGACTCACGAATTCGATGATTTATGGTGCATTAATATTTAGATGCACCCTTTGTACCGACAATTATGCTTTTCAATGAATAAATACCGCGAGTGCGATACTCAACGGTCATATAATACATAAAGATTAATATATTTTCGAAAACTTTAACTACCTCAAGTTATATATATATATATAATCATTTACCTGATATATACAAAAGTGTTGGCTCGACTAAACCACTTACTCTCAAATGTTTTATTTCTATATATCAGGATATCTATTTACTAAAAGGATTATTCTCCAAAAGTATTCATCAAAGAAAAGTTAATGAACATTTTCAAATCCCTCCAGAAAGTTACTTCCAGTGGAATAAAGTTACTACCAATTTTGTCCACTGTTCCAAACCATCGCTATATTGTATCAGGTTTAATAATAGCTATTGAATATCCTGATGATTGTGCATAAATTCTCAGTGACAGATCAGTCACCCAATTCGATTGGATCTGTGGTCTCATTTCTAATGAAATATAAGTTTTTTACCATCGTGATAGTTTCAAGGAACGTTTTAATGCATACAGTTTCAAATTTTATTAAACTATTTCAAATTCAGAAAGAACATTAAAAAACATCTCGAGTTTCTCATCATTTATTTTGTTACATAATATTATAAGATTGTTATTTCTTTAATAGTATTCTAAGATATACTGTTTACTTTTACTTTGGTTTCTTTATGCCAGCTTCAACCTTAGACTACGTAAATGAAACTGTAAGTTCCAAGTATTATATATACCACTTTTCCCTTTTAATTTATTTTAAACTTTGTTATTAAGTTTTTGTCCACATCTATTCAAGTGTAAATCATTCACTTAGTTCATTGATTTAGAAACTGATCTTTAGGGGATATCTGAATTGCGTAAGGGAAAGTGACGTTACTTGACTACCGTAAACCTAAATGGAACAGGGTTCGAACTTGAGATATATTGATTGGCAGTCATGTACTATCGCTCCGCTGATCTGTATATATGCTAAAATTGTTTTTCGTGTAATTTATTTTGCATAAATTTGTTTATAAAAAGACTGTTACAAATATTCCTTTCCCATAAAATCCAAATTATTCACTGAACCATCTATTTTTATGTAGTGTCCATCTCTTAATAACACATGTTTATTTTATGCAGTGCTTTCGGACTTCAGCCTTATAAAAATACTTAGAAGTTGAGTAGTTTTTAAACCACTTGATTTATTCAAAAGCTTGCTGTAATCCCATAAACTTCTTCAATCCTTAAGGAACAAAAAGCGATTTCGTTTACTCATCTGTATTACTGAATACCAGGTTAGATAAAGATGCCAAACCAATAAATGAGTTGATTGAAACGTATGCTACGTATGTCCAACCACACTCTACTTCAAACTCTGTTGTTTAATGATGTAGGAGTGCGTTGGTAGAAAATCAAAGACAGTCGAACCAAAACGTAACATAAGTTCACGGAATCATTTCCGGTTGAACTTAGCCTTAACTAACTTGGATAGGTTAGGTAACATGTCTTAGATCGTTCATATGGCACAAATGCATTCTCTTAGACTGCTTATTATTTATTTTTATTACCTATATTTTGTATTTTTCGAATCCATTTTTCTCTGATCACATTTTGCATACTTTATCTTGTTCCCTCAAATTCTAATCTTCGGAATTACCCATTATCTCTATCTTCTCTTCCTAAAGTTATCTCACTGAATCATACTTTTTGAATAATATCTTCGAACCCTAGTGTTTTCGGTTACCGCTAATACTTCTATTACCTCTACCACTATGGGACTTGAATTGACAGTTACCTCTCTGTGCTAATGTGGTACGGCAACCTGAACTGATGTACGCACGTACGAAGTTCTACGTTGTAACTGACTGACTGAACCACTGATACTGTTACTATATCTATAGCATTTGTCTTGTAAATTTCATATTGATGTGGCAAATTGAACTGATGTGCTTGTGTCAGGTGTTAGTTTGCTTGTGACTGATATATCTTGACACATACTTTATAAACTGACAAAACAGGTTACTGGTTAATCAATTGTGATGATTATTATTTTGCTGCTATGACTTATTGGCATCAAATCGAAAACTGCGTGATAAATCATTTTTATGCTCCTAATGATTTGGGTGGTAATATCATTCTGTTACCTAAGGAAAAACGGTAACTTCATTAGTATTCAAACCGTAGCGACATTGTAGGTGGGAGTGGCTAATGGTACTATCTAGCTAGTCAAACCGATATACGTAGTGTGAATAAATGAAGCCGATTTTGTAAAGCTGACTAATACTGCAATTCTATTGACAGTTAACGTCATATACTAAACTACAAACCGTTTACATTTGTTTTCACATAATTGCTCAAGTGATACTAGGTAACACAAACATTGCAAATTCACCAATCCGGTGCGACTAATCTAAATGAGTCAGAGTCTGTCGCTTCACTTAATTTTAGAGTGCATGAAATTACCTTGAGTATGTCACATAATTCATACAACTTAGGTAAATTGTATCTAATAATTGTCATTTTAATGAGCCTAAAATGTTTTTGTAATGATAAAACTATGATAAATCAGTTGCATGCGTGGTAATCCTGGTTAATTGTTAATAGGTGGTCAACGAAAGCAATTTATATTAATCTCTTTATCATGTTATTGCTATAATAGATGTTATATATATATATATATATATATATATATATATATATATATATATATATATATATATATATATTGAAACATTTTGCGAATGGAAACAAGCGGGATAGTTTATTTTGGCAATTGAATACATACAATGAGTGATTTCTAATACTGCACAAAATTTACTCATTACTTTTACTCATGCTTTCGTATTATTGTGTGCTTAACAAGAATTTTTTTTCTTTACAAGGTCAGCTATCCTAATGTGATTTGAAACTTTTAAAATCGAATATTTAAATTTCATTTTCTTCACACAACTGTCTAAAATTGATTCAGAGAATCAATTTTCTTTTTTAGGATAGGTTGATTTGAAACTCGTTTAGAACTTCACGTAAACTAATAAAACTGAAAATCTTCGACTTTCAATGTTATCACACTGTGCTTTGATCGTGAGATACTTGACTTGATATATAGCCGATCGAGAATTGTATCCAAAAACAAAACAGTTGACAGGATTCCTCCTTCGATACTTGCGCATTGAGTTGCATTGACTACAGTTAAATCATGTGAACCTATTGGATTTTCAGTTTGTGACTAGACTTAATTGTTTTTGTCATGTGGCCTAAAGCTTCCTTATTCAATTTCGATTAATGTCTAAAGCGTGAAACCCTTATTGGTTCTGAAGTATGGGGTAGAATCTTTTAAAATAATACTTTGATTCATCTTTTAATGTTCACTCAATACGTATCTTGGAGTTAACAAGGTCTACGAAAACTACTCAATAGCTTGAGATGAATTTTTTTCTGCTCAATTTGAATCTACAATTTCCTCTCTGTGCTAATGTAGTATATGGCAACGTGAACAGATGTACATACGTCCCAAGTTTTGTGTTGTTGCTGACTGCTTGACTTTCTGCTCTACAAATTACTAATTAGGCTTTGTAGACTAAATACAGAAATGTTTTCTAAATTATCTCGGCTGAATTCATAGGATTGTCATGTTTCACTGTAGTATGTAGTCCTAAAATAAGATTGCTTAACCGTCCAGCTTTCCAATTTACCTCACTCCTTTTTTTCAAACTGAAATCGATTGTATCATAGATAGTTTTCTAACGTTATCAATAACTGTCAGTGCACTGAGTAGAAGTATGCTATAGAATTATGTGGAATAATTTTATTCGTTTAAATTGCACCTACTGTCCATTCACTCAGATTCAATTGATTTAAGAAGATACTAATTCATTTGAGAATTCAGTCAAATATATTTTTTAAGTTATATAGCTATATTCACAAGACATAGACGTTATTGTTTAATAAAACGAAAACTATACATATGTATATACATATATCCAGGTACATATTATTTGAAATGGTCTACTGTCAGCACCAAGAGAACTATATTTCATGGGTTGCATGTTTTACTTCAGGGTCAGTATTATAGTGATCAATACTTTCAACTGTATTTCATATGTATGTTTATACACAAAATGTGTTATAACTATAATTTTATGTAATCTCATTGATTATTCAGTTTATATTTTTAACTAATCATGTTCATTAAATTTATATCTGTCCTGACTCTATCTCAATAGCATTATCTATTTCACGTTTTTATTATTTCTATAAGTTAAATTATTTTTTAAAAAAAAGGTGAGATTAATTCACTTTTCAGCAATAAAAAGGTATTTAGTACTACTATGCTCTCTGTATCTCATCATGATTCCAGGACTAATAGTCAATTTGGAAACTGTTTAAAGTATAAGGTATTGACATCTATATAGTTTCATAGTTTTTGAACTTGATGTTCATAAATTTAGTTACAACAGTGTCAGAAGATTTCAACAGTAGAGCACTGTGAAATACATCGCGTAAGTATTCAGTTATTATTTTGGAGAAATAAGGAAAGTATTGTATCAACAACCTAATTAACCAGCTGCAAATCTTCCCATCATAATAAACATCCAACAAAATTATGGCATTTTGGACTGTATCATATGAAGAGATGGGAAGTTGCTGTTGGTGATCCGTGTAATAAGTATGACTATTGGTTGGGGATGTTGAGTACCATAGCTCGAAATTAGCTATAATAGTGTTAATGCATTCGTTGTTTATCTTACCTTTAAATCTTGAATTTTGATATCATTTCAATTTTTTTATCCTACTCATTTATTACTGTTTCTCTCTGTTGAACCTGTTTCACAATCACCACTATGCGCCTTGTTAATTTCACCTCACTATACTTAGACCATATAGCAATATGAGTCGATGAACATTTTCATCAAGTCTTACACTGTTTAACCCGAATAACATGTTACTTAATAATCAATATTTTATGTGTAACCATAAGTCAAACAAACAAATAGTAGAAAGTGTAAGAAAGCTAAAAATCCCATTTACAAACATTATCCTTGGAATCAAAAATGTGTTTAACAGATAATTCACTTTACATTATACATTCACTTGGTACTGTATGTGAATTGTTATTATTTTTAGGAATATCATGGTCAAGTAACATCTTTACTCAGTAAACGTGATGGTTATTTATCATCACCTAAAGAACAAAATAAATCTCAACTTACATCTCCAAGTAGTGAACAGCGGTTTGACTTTGTTGTTGATACCCAACATAAGGAAGTAATAAATAATATTGAAGTTGTTAATGAAAAAATATCTGATGGCCTCACATTATCCGATAAACAGGACAATTTTAGTCCGGAACCAGAAGATGATGAAGGTGAGGTTGATGACGATGACGAAGATGACGATAAGGATGATGAAGATGATGACAACGAAGATGATGATGACGATGACGATGAAAAGCGTGCAGTAGAACCAGCTGAACGTTATGAACCACAAACAGTTCATGTTAACCCACCAGAACGTGCACCAAATCATCCAGCTTTATTTACACATTGTCAGTATTTGTATGTGGGAGCTGGTCGTTGGCAAGTTTATGTTCAAATGTGGTTTGTTGATGACCGTTTAAAAAGGGAGGTAAGATGTATGTGAGACTATTTCTCAAATAAATGCTGTGTATAGTTTCATAAGTTTGTGTATGTATGATTTCACATAGAAAAGACCTAATATTCTTAATCATTAACATCAAGTCTTTAATTATTAAAGTGAATGAAACTTGTATCCGCCTTTTGCTTGCCAAAAATAATAAGAGTGATAAAATGTGTTATTAATAGTATGATGTATATAATAACAATTTATACTGAACAAATTTACTGGTATCATTGTCTGTCATTTCTTGTAGCAGTGGTTTCTGATATCTGTTGATACATGTTCATTTTAAAAAAATGATTACATGTAAAATTAAACATAGACTCGCAGAGTTTTTCACATACATCATCGTCTTCACTGTTAGTTTGAGTAGTATAATATAGTACACATGGTTTCCTAATCAAGCTTTGAAACGTCTGTTTAAAAACAGTGCATCGATTCTCATCATTTTTCTAACAATACTGTCCTTCAATTGTACAGCAGGTGGATGTTCACATTTATTTCACTTTATTTTGTGATTGTGCAATACTACACGCTCGCGGTATCGTACAGTGCTTAGAACTACTTGTGAAACTGACTGCAAATAATTACTGAACTGGCATGCAAATCTATGGCGATAGAAAACTTGAGTGCACTGTAATAAGTGATATATAAAAAGCCTTAAACTGTAATGGTGAATACAACTTTGTTAGATTATTACAGTAATCTAGGTGTTTTAAGCATATTTCAAATCAAAATCTTCTTTCATACAATTTAAATTGAAATAATGTGAGAACAATATTTGTAGAATGAAGTGAATTTATTATTATATTTCAAAGCTTCTGATCAACAAACGGACTGAAGTTACACGTATTACACAGTTATGCACACTATAATTATCTATTTTCTCGTTTGGTTGTTATTTTATACTTTTCCCAAGTAGTCGTATTAAGAATTCTTTCTAAAGTTGAATTTATTGATGAATCATTACAAACAATAATTAATGTGTTTATTTGACTTTAAGCAATATTGATAAAGTATTTCTGCTGTCTTAGTCATTTCACTTTTATTCTTTTTCTTTACAGACTTATGTACAAGTATTTGATAATGAATGGCATGATTATGAACGTGTCGCTGATCTGTTCGAAGCTTCACGGTGTTTGAATCCAGTCGATCGTCCTAATCTGGTACGATTGCTTGCTTTGGCACGACATAACTGTGCTCTTATCGATGGTGAACTACAATTTCCTGGGTAAATTATTCACTTCAATGCATTAGTATATTATTCATATTGTGTGTTGTATTATCATTGGAATTGTTTGGCAGTTTTTTCATCTCAACATGTTTGTGTTTACGTTGTATACTATTCATTAATAAATTAATTATTAGCTATTTGAGAATAGGTAAGCAGCATATCTTTACAATAATTTATAATACAATACTGGTTATTGAGAATGAGTTCTTTAATCATGCACTTCATCTAGACCTCGTTAATTTAATTATTTCAGTCATTATAAAGAAGAGTTATACTTACTCTATGGTTTAAATGTGTATTATGGGAAAAAGTAACTTGGAAATTCCTTCCAAGCGAATTCACTTATATACAGAGAATTTCACACAGGCATTTTCTATCTACCATCGATAGTACGTAGAGTCCACCCTCACTCTCGAAATGCTCCCATATAGCCATGTATACATATTTAGCCACTACATTCTAGCGGCAGAGGTGTTTTTTACGTAAGTGAAAGGACGAAGAGCGAATGTTTGGCTCTGTAACCGGGTTAGTGAGTACGAGGCAATCACCTAGGGCATCTGGGAACCCTGAGTGCAAACCAATAGCTCCAGTATCCTGACGGAACGAATGGCGTACGAATCTGTCGTTAGTGACTTGCTACCATGGAACTGCATCTCCTGACGTTGCTCTACTATGGATTAGATAATTGGGTGAAAGGCTTGAGGTATGGCTCTCTGAAAATACCAGTTGTTTGGGTTTGGGCGTCTGATAGTAACCCAAACGACTCACGAATTCGATGATTTGTGGTGCATTAATATTTAGATGCACCCTTTGTACCGACAATTATGCTTTTCAATGAATAAATACCGCGAGTGCGATACTCAACGGTCACATACTACATAAAGATTAATATATTTTCGAAAACTTTAACTACCTCAAGTTATATATGTATATATTATATGACGTTATTTATGTTTGTTCTACTATATTAGTCCATTAGCATCTAGGCAGAGCAATTTCGATGCACTTGAACTTCATGAAAAACTTGTCGCACTTCACCTTCATCAACAAGCAAAAGAACGTTTAACTTCTAGAGATTCAGGGTTAGCTAAAAGTTCAATACATTCATCTTCTGCTACACCAAATAATGAAAATGGACATATAGCCTCGAATAATTACGACCAGGTATGTTTATTAGTTTGTTTTAAACTAGATTATTAATTATTCTATTTGAATAAAGGTGAATAGTTGAGAGTTGAAACGTTTCATGTTCATGATATGTTCAATTATTTATATAACTGATTGAAACTTCAAAAGCATAGTATCATATTTTGATGAGTAATTAGCAAATAAAAAAATATTTTTATTAGGCAAATTATTTTATACAAACTTTCAAATTTACAGTTAGTGTACATTTTTACTTTTTGTTAAAATAATAAACACCATAATCTGTACTGTGATTTTATTATGCAGGACAGCGAGATAAACTTATGAACGCAAACATCCGATAAATAGAAGCATTAACAATATCAGTGGTAGTAAATAACGTTGAGCATAAACAATATGATTCAAGAAGAAAGAATTAATCTGCAAAATAAAAAGTATAAGATAATTTTAAAACTACTGATGTAAACAGAAACAAAAAGTACATTTATTTGTGCTGTTGAGACCGATTCTAAGCCATATCACCTAACGTCTCCAACCATTATTGCTCCTAGTAATCACGTGAACCCAAACCATGTAGTCTGAAATTTCAGTGTTACCAATGAAAGTCAAAATAAAATGTTTTATTGGTGGCGGGTTTAGCAATGTTCAATTTGATGTATGCCATTCTTAGCATGCAAACGGTGGAAAGATGACAGATACATACACTAAAATTTTTATTGATTTTCAATGTTTTTGTTATGACTGTTAGTCTTGACATTGAATTCCAAATGCTTCTATGCAATCTGATCTGACGCATCCATTTATCTAAATGAAGCAAGAATTCTACCACGATAGATAGTAAAATACTAAGAGGTCACCTAATTATTGTCTATACTATGATAGTGAATCGGATTTCAGGTAATTTGTAGACACGATATTTGTTAAGTTTTATCCAAAGTTTAAATTTTTGTTTGTATGTTTTTTAAAGATTAATCAAAAGCTACTTCACCTGAAGTTGTGCTAATTAGGACAATTAGATTATTTTTCAAAAATTGCATATAGCTTAAATAATCCACGCTATAGCCTTGTATGTGATATACACCTCTTCCTAATATACATCAACCTACTCTTCTTATCATTTTGTCGTCGGCGTATTTTTCATCTGAAACATTTCTTTTTGTACTATGTAAACATAGAATGTAAATGATATTCGATCGATGGATTATCAAAATCATGTACCAGTTCCAAATGAAGTTCAAGCTTGTGCTGAGCATATCACACAGGTGCAATTGCATCAACGAGCAGATCAAACGCAAGATCGTAAGTCTGATTCAATTTTTTTTCTTATTTCACAAACTGGCTCTACTAGCCTTCTTTTAAATAAATTTTTAATTAACGTGTATCAATCTTAATCTTTCTATTGATGTTTATGAATGCACTTGATTAGTCTCTTTTGGTACATATGGATACATCCATCTGACAAGTCTCAAACAAGACGAAACATGCATCCTGGATCTTGCTGCTAGTCAACATACATCTAAATTTTCAATTGTTTCAACCCACTACGGTAAATCGACTACAAACGAAATGTTCATTATTGCGTATAATTGAAATCACGTACTGATCAAAATAAGTCAACCATTGAAAACCTAGAAGCACTAGATGGCCATTTTTTCCTAGTGTAAGGTTCCTCATCTGTATGTATCTGTGACCCCACATGCGAGTATCGGACTCAGGACCTATTTCTTACGCGACGTCTAACCCCTATTCAATTGAGCTGGAATTCAATGGTATACAAATATTACTAACTTACGCCTGTTACTCCTCTGGGAACATAGGTCGCTAACTAGGATTTTCTAACCAACTATGTCCTGGGCTCTCCTTCCCAGCTGTTTCCAATTGCTATTCGTTCTTTTCATGTCTGTCTCCAATTCTTGGCGCCATGTATACAAGTATTACTTATTAACCATTTTGGTGTTACTATCCGGTGTATATTAGTCATCAAAATGTCTGAATTTGTATTCTGATTATTCAGTGATGTGTGTCAACACCCCAAAACACCGCAATTATTTATTCGATAATAAGCATAAACCGTAAGTGTTCAGTAGTGTAAACAGTTGCCATTCAACTACTCGGTAATAGGTTCTAATAAAGAGAATATATTAGTAGTGTGCTCATAATAAATATAGTTTTTAGTTCAGCACAGATATACTTGAATAGTTTATGGTTCCGTCTACTCTGTCGGTTACGTTTCAAGACACCGGTACAAATATGATCCACTTACTTTTTTATCCAAAAGCCGACTACTTTATCTAGCTATTTTGTCTTACGGAACTGTAATAATGATGCTTACTTAATAGTTCTTCAAAGACATCTATCGGTACACAGAACTATTATAATTTATTAAATTTCATTTATCATATGTGCTTGTTTGCCAGCAACGATTTTGTAAATAAAAGCGGTTCAGAATATAATTAAAATATTTTTCCTGACCTATATAAGAATTTAGTCAGATTTGAAACTACCCTTATCATTAGTATTCACATATATTATAAATCTTATGGCCTAGATCATTTAATTGGGTATAATTATTGAGTTGAATGAATAATACTTACATATTAATGAATGTTATACCTTTTTAAACCTGTGAACGTACATTTCTCGTTAATCTATGAGTTATATTTGGTGCAAACATTACAATAAATTGTTTTAAAACAGATTACAACTAAACTATCCATCAATAACTGAAATACTCGCATATGATTTTGTGTTTAGGTGTTGCTGATTAGCTTAGAACAGAAAGCTGATACTCTTCAAGAAACGAATTAAGATATTAAACTATGGATAATTTTAAGTGTTTGTTTAGCTGAAATATCAAATCCTACATGTATATCGTAAATTCTTAAGTCAATGATGATTTATAAACCACCTTTTGTGCTGTTATAGTAAGCGAAAATTACTTTATACAAAACCCACCATCTGAATGATGATAACAAACAAATACATACGTTTTCATTTAGGTTATTTATTTTACCGAACTAAATACATTCTAAATAGTGATTTTTATCATATAGTGTATACATTAGTGAAGTTATAACACCTATTTCATTATAACACTTGCAGAATTGAAAAAAATGTAGCAGTATATTTTTCATTAATGTCTATACATAGCTCCAACTCCATGTCCTGTATCTGTCGGTCTATCTGATGCAGATGGAACCAAAGAGAATCAAGATCCAGGTAAACAACTAAAAATTAAAAATGATCCGAATAATGCACTTTTTCTGGATGTCAGTTCACTTGCTCCTCGTAATTCGTATTGTGCCTTATGCGATACACATGATTATCTACATCAAATTCATTTGCCAGCTTATCTAATTTCTCCTTGTTATCATTGCCGTGAATTTCTTGCAAATGAAGCTAAAATCACTCCTGAAATTCTCCTAGACTTACATTTACAAGTAAGTAGTTTTAATTATCAAACATTTATATCCCTAATTCAGTCGTTAGTGATATGACTGTTGTAGGACAGATTAAATTAAGACATGTCCAGTACGGGATTATTTTGGGGCGAGCTTAGCCAATCAGCACTAACTCTTAGCTGGAGGTTATAGATATTATCGTGTAAGAATTATGTGTTGTTTTTACTACCATGATTCGGATTCAACTTGAGTTGTCAGAACATATTAACTACCTGTTCAAGCCGTGTTCTGATTTCAGGGACTTATTGAGCGTTGTAAAGTGTCGAAGAATACTAAGCAATAAGATTGCTGGGTCGTTTAAGTGATAGACTAATTTCATATTTTTGAAATGGGTATACTGATGTTTAAACCCCGTCCCGTTAGCTTACAGCTAGTTGCTATATCTATCATAATGTTGTAGTGACCAAATGTAGGATCTCTTGAACTGTTTCTACGAGTATTCAGCGATAATTAAATTGCCTTTTTCAAATAAATAGCACTCAATCCCAAAACTACTTTTTGTATAATGTTAAGATGTTTTACGAAACTGTCTAGCTCATTGGCTTGATATATTATAGAGGACAAGAAAATGTTATAAAGACTTTATTCAACAGCCTACATGTTTTGTCTTTATGCGCCTTGAAGTTTATGAATATCAAGATTTAACCTCAGAATTGTACTACTCGTTCATAAAATTCCTTTTTTTTTAATGTAGCATAACATCCCTTGGCCAGGATTTTTGCAAGCTAGATTTGGTATTCCTAATGATGGTCGATCAAACGAAGAACTAATTGCTTACGACTGCCGCTGGCGGAGCAGACAACCCTGCCGTTGTTTAATATCTGTAGACGGTTCATTATTACCACCGTGTGTCGAATTTCCGTGGTTAGCTCCTACAGTTTCTTCAGGTCCATTAGAGGTCACTGATATTTCAGTAAATCAAAACAAATTAGATACACAAGATTCATCAAATACACAATCAACTGCAGAAATTTCTGCAGCCAGCACTACAAATCTACCTACTTTCGATTTTTCCGCAACAACACGTAAGCTATTTGATTATTAATAATTATGGATTTAACTTAATGCATGTTATGTGAAGCAACCTCAAATGTCTATTTTTCGTTACAGAAGCACAAACCAATACAACAAATCAATCTTTGCATACCCCTACTGCAACCTCGGTGAATACAAATACCATATCATCTGGGGGAAGTACTAGTACATGTTTAAAATCAATTTTACCATGCTCAAATAGACACATCCGCGGTGCTCCCATCACTTGCTGTCATGGCATACATTTGCCTTTAGTTGGCATACCAACCGTCTCGAATCCATCCGCCAATCAGAATACAGATACTAGTTGTATCCCACCTACTGATCCTTCTAATCCACAATTAACGACCGATAAATCAGTTGTTATGACTCAAGAGATCCAACAAGCAGCACTTCCAGCTAACGATGTATAATCTTAATATTGTAATTTTTATTATCTTTAAACACAATCATTTCGTAAATGTGATTCGAAAGTTGTGCAATATACAACTGTGTGCATATATACTTACCTATCTTTTAAATAGTAGCAATCTCAGAATCTCATTATCAAATAATGTTGATATCTAGCACACATCTCTACTACAATTACAGCACTAGTCTTTATAACACTATCAAATATTCTTTGCCTTTCAAAACAAAAAAGAGATGGAAATATATTGTTACTCATAGTCAACTGTAATTTTGTGGTTTATACTTCTTAAATAATTTTTTGTCGCTCTAGTTACACATGCCTCATTGTATTGTTAGCATATATTTTACAACACAAGACTTATCAAAAGCTGTTCTCAGTATCTATTGCCGAAATAAAGCAAAATAATTTGATAACAAAGAAAAATTGTAAAAACAGTTCAAAGTATACTGAATGTATATAAGTACATGCATAATTATATCATTAATTTGTGATAATAGTTCATATGATGAGAAGTTGAGTTCATCTGGATATAATGTAGCAAGTGAGTAATTCCTAACGTAAAATTGTACTGTTTTTCAATCGAGTTATGGTTGAAGTCCTCAACTTTCGTACTTTTCTCAGTGATTTATCACGTATGGATGATAAATTCGTTTGTGACAGACTAGGATGTCTCAAACTAAGACATATTTCTAGGAACAACAAATAAACATACAAAATTAATGTAGTCGAAGTTAACAGTCATGTTTACAAACGAAACAGGTAATGATGAAAAATACGTTAAGAATTCTGTCCATTGGGTAGTTTCTGTATCAGAAATGCAGAACCTGTCAATTAACGTTTGTAATATATTGTTGTGCCTCTAAAATTGGAAGTTTTACTTTAGGACTGGTTTGCGTTAACACCTAAACTAGTAATGGAATGTGAAGTACTTGAGTCCGTCGATCATGTCATTTGTCTTAGAAGTCTCATCAACTCTGGTAGTCTAGTATCTGACAATAGCTCAGTTGGATTGCACCAACTTGTAGTGTAGACGAAATATCTGTTTGCCAACTAAAGGATATGTTTCTTGCGCAGCAGTTTTATTTTTTCTTAAGGGCTGTGAAACATTTTTTTAAGATGAAGTATATTCATAGGTTATAAGTATCTGTTCGTAGATTCCTTCAAATCCTTGTATGAAGTTAGACACGGTACTAAATAAGAATACAAGTTGGTCAACGAGACAATGAATCTTCATCGACTGAGGTAATTAAGATGTGTTTGATGTATGCGCGACAATCGCATACCTTGACATGCAACGTTTGGTGATGTAGTTGTAGGTTGGAAGAAAACTGAGGACAGCCGAGCCAAGATGTAACATTAGTTCACAGAATCGTTTCCGGTTGACATGAACCTTATATAGGTTGGAGAGGTTAGGTAACACGGTTTAGATCGTTCAGACGGCACAAGTGCATTCTCTTAGACTACTTATTTATCTTAAATTACCTATATTTTTTATTTTTCGAATCCATTTTTCTCTGATCACATTTTGCATACTTAATCTATCTTGTTACCACTCATACCGTTACTATATCTATAGCATTTATCTTGATAATTTCTTATTGATGTGCTGATAGGATGTGGCAAATTAGACTGATGTATATATGTCAGGTCTTGCGTTGAACATGACTAATTCATTTTGATAATAAATGCTGTAGACTTCCCAACTGTACTTTGGCGTGACGGTCATTAAGATCTCACAGAAATGAGCTACATTGTATGCATCAGTCGAATAGAGATTGACAAAATCAGACGCAACAAAATTAGGTCTCAGTGTGAAGTTGTGTTATCGACTGTACTCTAGGATATATAGAAGTTGGGTCTTTCATGCCCCAAAACAGGTCGGTTATGCGAATAAGACTTATGCTATCTATTTTTATTTGATCCTATCTTTATTAAAATTGTAAATATAATCTTTTATATATGCGAATCTAGGATATTCATGTATATTGGATGTTTGGATCTTCCTATTGATGCTTTAGAACTGCAGTTGGTCAGTCTCTTTTGACAAATGTACATCCTGTGCGGAGTGCCTCGACATTGCCATTACGTCACAAGCATTAAATTCAGAAATGGATGATGGTTAGCAGTGGAATCGAAGATGCGCGCCTCGTCCTATTTGGGACTCGTCAGGTAGATGTACCTGCATCAGAGTTGATGTTCTTAAAGCTAATAATTAATCGCCATTTTAATCTGGGAAATAAGTCTTTATAAACCATTCATGGATGAAGCAATAGACAATGGTAACAGTTTATCAGCTTAAGTGTCAAGGTAATGTATTACATCTTTATGTTTGTGAAAATACAATCCCAATGCAGGATTTCACTTTTTTGGTGTTTGCACTCTATGCGACCTTCCTTCATAAGGGTTGTAGATAAAAACGTTTCTTTTTTGATATTTGCAGATAATGGGATAAAGTATTTGAAATTATCATTGATTGTTCTATGACTGTGACTAACATCATGAACTTGAAAATTTCTCTAATGGAATGAATTTATTAATAACAAAAACTTACGTTTGAATTTACTTTCGAGGGTTTGTCTGCTAGATGATCTCGCTCGATGTCTACAAAAAAACAAAACTTATGCACTTGCAAATGTCATTAAACTACTTGAGTTTTTATCGATCGGTTAACGAAACTTATGTGATGGTACTACACCTAAAGTGTTTTTATCAAATTTAGAAAACAACAGTAATCCGACACAGGTATTCCATTTGAAGACCGCACAGCAAATCACGGTTAAGAATGAATAATCAGTTTATTATGTAAAACGTTAATAGATCATCATTCATTCCAAAGGTTATGCATAGATGAATACACAGAAACTAACTGTTAGATGGGGTAACTAAAGATCATGTAACTTGATTTCTTTATCTGTGAAACCCTCAACTTCGGCTTCTAAAAGAAATGTTAAGATTTCGAAATGAACATGTAGTTGCAGTTATACTTTTTATTGTATCAAGAAGCAAAAAATGACTCAAATGGTATAAAATAAGGCTTTGAATAGGCTAAAGATAAAATAATGTACAGTAATTGCCAGTTTCTGAACTGTCAGTGAAGTACTTGTGGCAAACCTTGGAAGTTTTTTTCTCAACATTCATTTCTTAGTACTGACCAAGTCTTGTCGTTAAAATTCAAAAATGACCAATAGACTTGTTTAGTCGACATTGCGGTTAAAGATTAGTACAAAGCGACATGAAAACGACATCCAGGATTCCCAAACAAGTAGATCCAACCACCTGACATTAAACACAGTAAACTATAATGTAAATTCACCTACTCAACTGATCACAGCGCACCTTATATGAATATACTGTAAAAGCATACGAGACCAAACTGGTCACAGTCAAGAACTTCCTTCACCTCTAACATTTCTCTTATCTCCACGAATAACCCTTCTCACATTCCTTCATCATACCGCACCGCTAAAGCAAACGAGTTGAGTTCACGAAGCGTTATTCCTGGTCTCCTGAAACTCCGTTCTAGACTACATGTTGGACTTTTGGTGTATGGACATTGTGTCAAATAGGACAACAGGTTTCCTGAGCTAGGAATCTGGAATCTCATGCTACCGATGTTCACGGCCTCTGCACGATGCGCATACAGGATCCAAGTACAGTGATTACATTGACTTCGCCTTGTCCAGATAAGAAAGTAACTCGGTTTACTCTCCGTGGCCTCGCTGGTATAGGTATACATTGAGTCCTTTGGCAGAACTAGCTCTCCTAGATTGGATCCCAATAAATAGCCGCTTAAACTGTCCCACCAAACGGGTCAGTAAGGACTCGGAAAGATAGGGACACTCGCTGTTGCTTCTTCGTCGTCACCATCACCCCCCACTGACTGCAGTTCAGATGATTTTTATAGAAAGCTTCCGGACCTCTCTTAGAAACTTAGACGCTATGATATAGTTATGATGGCTGGTGGCTTTAATGCTCAAGTAGGTAGACTAGGTGAAAAGGAAAGTCACCTGTGTGGATCTTATGGTGTCACAACTCAAAGAACATAGTGGCGACCGTCTGTTGCAGCTATGCTCAGATAACCGCCTATGTCTAGCAAATACTAACATTAAGCACAAGGATAAATACCTTTTGGCATGGTGACCCCAAAAGTCTTCCCAACACTGGACCCAACTCGATCACATCGCTATCAGCCACCGATGGAGGGGTTTTGATCGAAGGCTATCGCTCGTTCTGGTACACATGTTTTGATTCAGATCATGCTCTGGTGCAAGCGCGTATTTGTTTGAAGCTTACTGGACGTACTGCAAGAAAACCTGTTAGGGTCCTACTTAATGATAGCATAACTAAGAATATATTTCAGGAACTGGAAAAGCAGTTGGGCGGCCGCATAAATGATTCCCATCCGGATGCAGCTTGGAATGATATCCAAAAAGCCGCGGAAACTGTAGTGATATCTGCTAGCAGGTAAACCATAACGCTAGAAAGAAGCTGTGGATCTCAGTAGCATCTACCGAACTGATAGACGCTTGCCGTCTGGCTCTGAACATGATGAAAAGTAAATTTAGCTTAAGCGCAGGCTGATAAAGAGCCTACGCAATGATCGCGAACAGCAGTGGGTTGCGAAAGCAAGAGCGATGGAAAAGGCAGCGACGATAGGTAACAGCAGGTAACGGTTCCGCCTTATCAAGGGAACTGGTACTAGGAATCAATCTGTTTTTGGTGGTGTTTTGTTCTCTAAGCTGGATGTTTTGGTTCACCTCAAAGAATGAAACACCACTAAAATCATCCATCTGAGATACAAATTTTCCCCACCATCTCAAAATCATTCTGTCTGAAAAACTATCCCGCGAAAGGATGGTGGAATCATCCATTCTCACCCCAGGAGATTGGATCGATGGGCAGCACACTTTAAGGATCAACTCAACTGGCCTTCAGCCACACTTCTGTTAACCACGATCTCCAGTCAACCTGAATGCGAAATCGATGTAAGTCCACCAACTGTTGGCGAAGTTGAAAAAGCTTTAGGAACTCTGAGGCAAGGGAAAGCGTCACGGCCTGACAGGCTTACCCCTGAGATTTTTAAGGATGGTGGTCCAGTTTTAGCAGTTAGATTAACTGGTCATAACCCCATCGGACTGGTCTCAATCACTGATTGTCCCAATCTATAAGAAAGGGCACAAGTCTTCTTGTGACAGTCACAGGGGAATCAGTCTAACGTATATAGTATCGAAAATATTGACCTCAATAATACTTCGACGCTTAACGAAAGCTCGTGAAGAGCAGACTAGAGAAAACCAGGCTGGTTTCAGACTTGGCCGTGGATATATAGACCACATTTTCACACTACGACAGGTCCTGGACCTTAAGGCGGCGTTATACTCTGTCGATCGTGATGTTCCTTGGCAGTGTGTACCACTGAAAGGTGTACCAGAGAAGTACATTAACTATATACAAGCTCTATACTCGAAGACTACTAGTCGAGTCATAGCTTATGGCGAACTGTCAACGGAATTGATTACTTAATTAGTGTCCGTCAGGGTTGTTCACTCTCTCAGTTCTTGTTTAGTTTTGTCGTAGACATCCTACTAGAGTTAACATTAATTCCGTCCTACTTTTGAGGGAAGAACCTTATACTAGGAAACTTGCTTGTTGACTTAGAATATGCCGATGACATAGTCCTACTCGGTGAAGACGCTGACAATTCGCGGAGTCTTCTGACTACCCTATGCAATAATGCAGACATGTCTGGGTTGCGGTTCTCTCCCTCAAAATGTAAAATGTCGCTTTGAGATTGGCTTGTATCGGCACCTGGACTAGTGATAGGGAGTTTCGCGGTTCAGTGCGACACTTCACTTATTTCGGGAGTTTCAGCAATGCTGACGAAATCTCAGCACGGATACAAAAGGATAGATTGGCTTTTTTCAACTGGCTTCACTTATGGCGCAAGCGAATTATTCGTATGCCAACCAAAAGATGAGTCTACTGCGCAGCAGTTCACAACGTTCTACTAAATGGATGCGAAACACGGCCTGTAAGAGTTGCAGATATTCGTAGGTTATTAGTATCTGCCTACAGATTTCTTCGAAGCATTACTCGTTTGTCCTGCTGTCGTTAGGAAACGAGTAATAGGTAGGGATGACAAATCAATAGAAGAAGTGTTGAAACTTCATCATTTGAGATGGTTCTGACATGTGTTACGTATGCACAACTACCGACTGCCTGGACGAGCGATGTTTTGTGGCGTAGGAGTAAGTTGGAAGAAAGCTAGGGGGGCTAAACCAAAACATGGCAGAAATGAATAATGTCACTGACAAGTGGACTGAGTCATGTTGGTCAGTGTAGACTACCTGGATGGCCTCCGCGAGACGATAATAACTGATGGTTACAGACCTTGAGCAACAGGGCTCAAGATCGTTTATAATGGCGCAGGCGCATCCACTTCTTGAATAACATCTTCGAACCCTAAAATTTCCGATTACTTCTAATACTTCTACTACCTCTACCACTATTGGATTTGAAGGAACAATTGCAGCCAATGTAGTATCGCAACCTGAACTTAAGTACGTACGTACGAAGTTCTACGTTGTAACTGACTAACTATTATACTGGATTTAGTTAAGGTTTACACAAAAATGATGGTTAGTTCACCAAAACGACTAATATTCATGTGCTGCTTTTCGTATAATGTTAAACAAACATACTTTATTTTGACATCTCCAGCGGATTCTGAAAGTTCAGCTCTTTTTTCGACTACATATACTAAGTCAGCAAGCAGCTCTTCCTCACGAGCTTTTTCTTCCTTAGTTTTGAGAATATCTACGCAAAAATGTGTAAAATAATGGTATATCATAATAAAGTATTAAGTTGAAATTCAGTAATATGTGACCGTAAATGAAATAAATCTATACAGTGTGAGATACTCTTTTAATTGATGAAGTATCAGTTATATGATAATACGGAGTAGAGTACTAAATTATCAGAGTAAATAGGTATAATGTTAGTGAGCCCCGGTTACAGATTGTTTTCCTTATTTTATGCATTTAATCGGTTACAAAATTGTAATATCAAATAAATAGTATTTATATTTATTTTTTAAAGAAAATGCTACGTTTCAACTATGCACAAGTTTGTGGACAAGGTTATGAGACTTGGTAATACTGTCAAGCTATCAAAACTGTTAAATGTACTACTAAAATAAAGTCACAAAAACTTGATAATTAATATCAATGTTTAATCTAAAAGTTTTTAAGTAATGTGTGCAAGTGAATGGAGAAAATAGAACCACTGATAAATGTAGGTTTGTTATTCTAAGTAGAACTTCTCACTGATATATTATAACTGGTTATTTATTGCTTAATATGCCTCCAACTAAGCGTTTACTGTCAATTATTAAGATAGTAAACAATTTTTTATTGATGAAAAAGCACTTCATCTTAATTGGTTAAAGCGAAAACGTAAAAATGACGTAACACACGAAAGCATTTTCATTTCATTGATTCATTTTAGATTAAATAGTAAAAGAGCTCACAACTAGAAAATGCATTTATTCACTGCTGTCTAATTTTCAATGGTTCTATAGCTTTTATAGTGATGGAGATTGTTGTTTTAAATTGAAATCGTGAATCGACCATTGTTATACCATCATTAGAAACCTGTAAACACTGGATGATTGTTTCGTCCTAGTATGGGACTTCTCAGCAGTGAGCATACTGTACCCAACCCCTTGTGCGCGAGACAATAGGTCTTGGGTTCGATTCTCGCTTACAGATTCGTGGATGCACACTGCTGAAGTCTCAAACTAGGACGAAACCGCCGTCCAGTGCTTTCATGTTTCCAACGGTGGTCTAACAATCAGTGGTTCTGTAGTTTGTAATGAGATTTACTTTTGAAAAAATTAGTTGATTTAAAGCATCATAATGCTTCTAAACGACACAATGAGGAAAAAATGAGATCATGAATAGAACCAATAAAATGTGGTTTTAGATATTTAAAAGTAAATGCACAAAGGATCTATCTACGTTTCAGAATTTGAAGCTTAGCCATATTACCTACAATAAAGAACCGTTTGTTTTGCGATTCTAAAGAAATTTAATCACTGTCACAAGTTCGATTCAGACTTATCACTGCATAATCATTCTACGCTTCACCCTAATCACCAACACAATTCCCATATAATCAGTGCATATAACAGGAAATAGAGATTAAAAAAATACTGCATATCTTAATCATTGATTCAAATGAAAACTCAAAACTTAACAGCTGGTCAAATTTGTTTATTTAATTGTTGGGTGGAGGTTTATGTACCCGAGTTTGAGCAGAATTAATTAGGTGAGAGCTAGCCAAACTAAAGTAGGAGGATCTGGCTTCAAGTCCGTTGAGAGTCTAGTTAACCAACAACTAACACAACTTCTATACTCTCATAAAAACTTTAATTCTACTTTAACTGTACAAGATATAGTCACTATACGTATTACAAGTCATAAAAGGAGGTTAAAAACGATGGAATCAATACACTTGTCATGATAAAAGAATACTTCATTAGTACTCTATTATTTTATCATTAAATTTGAAGTAATACTTAATATGATGACAATGAGAATACCGGGATCGTGAGAGAATAATAGTAGGATCTAATACTCTGCTTTAAAATATGGGTGAGATCGCTTCGGAGTTTCAAAATATAAATCAATAATCATTAATACGTAATCTACGTTGTCGATTTTTCTATTCCCTCCTTTGTATTTTTTAAACTATTCGCTTAGTTATCCTGTCTATAAATAATTAAAGATAAATTATTTTTAACTTGAATTATCTCGTCAACTTATTTTAATAATGGAATATGATGATGCTATCTTGAAATCGAATAGCTATTAATTAAAATTGTAAGCCAATAACAAGAATTCACAGGATTAAATCAACTCATACTATCCTTCTTCAATTAGTTTTAAGTTACTTAAACAATTATTACAAGTGATATAATAATCAAAATCTAGATTTGTGACTGAAAAAGTTCAAAAAAATCACTAAATAAAATCAGTTATCATCACTAAAGTCTACAAACTGACAATGACCCTATGAGATTTTAAGCATGTTGTTGGTATCAAACTAAATTTTGAGAGTTCAATCAATAGTTTAGTAGTGAATGAACTAAACTTGCTTTACGAAATAAATGATAACAAGCATGAATGAAGTCAACCTTACACTGTATGTTTTTACATTGCTAAAAATTATTGTATTGACTAAGATTCTAACTTATAATTCAAGTAGTATTCAAAAGATATTAGCGTTAAGACTCATATCATAAACAAGAACGCTGAAAACCATTTAACTAGTAAGGCAGGTGGATCTAATCAAACATTAGAATATCTAAAAAAAATAAAAGATACATATAAAATCCGGGGAACTATGAATAAAAAAAACTGTTAAACGGTCGCTATCACCGGAATGTGGTAAAAGCAAAAGAGATTGGATTAGGCATGCAATACAGGATACTTTTCCAATACAAAGATTCCCACCTTGTTTAGCTATTAGCGCTCGTAGTTCATATTCTAACTCGGCATGACGGTCCTCCAGTTCTTGACAACGAAGCCTATTGACAAAAATCAAAATTAGTGGTGAATTCAGCGTTACGCAGAAATATTAAAAGAAAAATATAACTACTAACCAAAGCATAATTAAATGAAAACTGATGTTGAATAAAACCGGGTATATACACACATATACATTTCTCTTATGCACTACAAGCTTTAAATCCAAAGCTAAATGAACAAAAGCGTTTTTAAATGCGTCAGCTTATTATGCTTTTGACAAGGTAGAATATGATGGAAGCAGTTTGAGAAAATTGTAACTCGTCAACGATAGACGCACGTTACTTAAGCCTAAATAGGTGAAGCATGTTTTAAACGGATGAGTGATCAACTGTAAGTTCTGTATCTAATTGAATATGGAGCACTCACTTATGGACTAAAGAACTAGATTTTCAACAGTTGAGTTGCGAGTTAAAAGTGCGCTCTATCTATTTAAGTTTTTACCAGCGATTTCTATCACTCTGCTACTGAGCAATGTGTCGCTTGCAATAAACTAATTCGTATTTTTCTCGAAATTAGAGTGAACCGATGGATAAAACTAGGATTTATGGAATACATTTAAGTAATCCACAACAGTTAAGGATAACCCTCGAAATGTCTTGTGCATCGTTTTCATTTCCTTTCATATATAATATTGCTGATTTTAGATAAGATACCTAAATGACATTTAATGTGGACTGCCAAAACAATGAGATATTTGTTATAACAAGTTACGTTCTGTTGTGGAGGATATCATAGAACGAAGTTTACGAGAGATGCACTATTCATTGAGGACATGTATAAAAAATTTACAAACCAATAATTGCTGACAAGTTTAAGGATAATCAGTCTGACGGAAATGTAGCACACTGAATATATTCATTTCTCAACCCCTTAACGAAACCCGTTAATGGATTTGAAACTTGTACAGAACACTAGGATTGCTATTATGTATGCTGTATACAGTGTGGATATTTTGTCGTATATGATAATTGAGGTTTAGATACTTGTGTTGTTGCATAAACACTAACCCTGGTAAGGCAAAGGAAAGTAATTTTTATACAGATAGAACTAGAGTAATACATGCTATAATACATCACTGAGATATCAGCTCGGCAGTAAAAAGTGAGTTTTACAGCGCTCTTGTCTAAGCACTTTTATTATACATATCCAAATTCGCTTCTGTGAACTGAGACTTTTAGTAGCTTTAGGCGTTCAGTCAATCCTGTTTACACAATAATAACAGCACTCGACAGCAAAACCACTAAAATAATACTTCCAAATGCGTACGGAAACAAAAGTAACGTAAGGTGATGCTGAGACTGACTGAGGTAGACTAAAAGCTTGACAGTCTACATGAGGATGTAAAATAAAGTAAACATCTTCTGAGTTAGCACCTGTTGACATAACCTTGTCTTAAATAAAGTGACAAAAACCTTGTGGATGGGGGATTTTAGACGTCATTATATATCACCGGAAACCTCATTCAGCATCCCTTGTGATTGGTCTTTATACTTCTTATATTGTTTTCCTTGAAAGTTATGACGATGATTACTTCTTTCTCGAGTTACTTCACGAAACTGTTAGTCTTCTTAATGAAGTGCGTTTTCCGATACCTAAGTAAACTTCTTCAAAAACCTATTTACCTGCGAATGTGAAAACTTACACCTGTTACGCTAATAGAGCACAGGCCGCCGACCAGTATTCTGCAACCTACTCTGTCCTGGGTCACCCTTTGCAGTTCTGTTCATTCTTTGCATGTGTCCCAATTCCTCAGCATAATTTGTTCTTTGGTCTTCCTCTTCTCCCTTGACCTTGGAAATTCCAAGGGAGGACTTGTGACGCATTTGGGTGCTTTCCTCAATGTGTGTCCTATTCACCACCAGCACTCCTGATTTCGTCTTTAGTTGGAATCTGGTTTGTTCTATCCCATTGTAGGTTGCTGCTAATGGTGTGTGGTCAATAGGTGAGGAGCATCTTGCATAGACAACTTGGTAAATACTGGTATTTTGCGGATTGCTTTCGTGGTTCTCCAAGTTTCCGCTCCATACGGTAGAACTGTCGAAACGCTTGCATTCGAAATCCTGACTCTGATGTTGTTTCACAGTTGTCACGAGTTCCATATGCCCTTACCTTGTCAATCTGTGCCTTCGATTTGCGTGGGACCCACCTTGCTCATCAATGATGTCCAGATATGTAAGGGTTTCTACATCCCAAGCTTCTCCAACGATTGTGATTTGGTTAGTGCATGTTGTGTTGCATCAAAAGATATTGCTATTTCCCTTATGTATGTTGAGACATACGTGTGCAGAAGGTGCTGCTGCACTGGTCATGAAAAGTCATCATAAAACATAAGCGCAAAAAGGAAGGAAATAACATTTTAGTAAAAATACCTTTGAAGTAACTCTGATTCCTTTCTGAAAAGGTTATCCTTTAATTGAACGGTATGAAGCCATTGTTTTAATAGTTCTTTGACACTTCCGTCATCTTCAGACACTTTAATGTATAAAAAATTCATAATCCCCGTAAAATATCTCGATAGAAGTGTTATCTAAAAGTTCAAAAACTGCATAAAATGCTGAACCACGTTAAAATGAAAGCAGTGCACTAACAAACGAACCTTTAGAGGTCCGTCTGCCTACTATCAAATAATAAAACTGAATATCAATTAACATAATGTACCATGACTTTATTATTCTACTAAATTAGATATATATTTAGGAAACATAAGCAACAACTAAACAACGATATATGAAGTACATAGTGACTTAGATTTCATAAGATGCACCCAAGCTTCCACGATAAAATAATCTACCTAAACCACAGAACATTTCAGTTTGACGTCTCCTTATTTCGGTAAAGCGATAATGTAAGATCATAGTGACTGTGATTCTCCGAAGTTCTTACCGCTTTGATTTGACTACTAAGCAGGGAATTACGTTTAAGTTGTGAATCTATGTAGGTATTATGCCTATACTTAATACTGAATGAAAATAAAAACTATGAACATGTTTACACAAAGAGTATCTTACTTTCCCTGATACTTGTTTGAATTTGACGAGCAGCTAGCTCCAGACCGGAAAGTTCATTGTTTATTTCGTATAGTCTTTTATGCAATTCTGAATATGAAATGAAGTCAGTTCGTCGATCGCTTCTGACATCACGTCGGCATAAAACAGGAATAGGCGGAGCAGGCCCTTTAGTAATAACTGATCTGGTTATTCTTGTATCTGATCCATTGAGAGGTTTTGAGGACGATGTTGAATGGCTGCTTGGTGAGGAAGACTTTTCTTTACTCATACGCCCATAAGCAAGTAAACTAGATAAGTCACATATAGACGAATGGGCAGTTCGAAAATTTAGTGGTTCATCTGGAGCTAATTGTTTCATGGAGGAAATATGCTCACTTCGTTCCATGTTTCTGTCTGTACAATCACCAGGTGTTTGTACCGGAGATGGAGGGTTCAATATATCTAGTTTTTCAGAGGGATCAGAAACTGAAATATCGTTATCTTTTTCTGAGTCTTGGATTAATAAATCCTCGTCAAATGGATTATAAGGCTTGTGTTTACAATCATGCTGAGGGTTGGAATCAGATGAATAATCATCTTCGAACGGATTTAAAGCAGCAGGATAAGAAACAATATTCTCAGGGACTAAATCGGAGTTGTTTTCACAATATTCTGTGCTAGCTGCTTTTCTAGCTTGTGTCTTCAAAACACTATTCAATCTAGAAGACGCATTGTTGCTTAAAATATCAGGAAGTGGTGGCCTAGATGGTTTGTGTACCGGTTGACGTTTTTCATGGCTACCTGTGTCAGACTCATCTCCTGGAGTGAGTTTAATTGAAGATGAACTTGCGTCTAGAAGAGAAGATAAAGAGGGGAAGACAAATCTCTTTTACCTGAAAACTTAGATAACGGTAGATCCTTAGACGCATTGGAACTCCTCAGCGTAGCATTTCGTTCTTCGAGGTAAGTTAGCTGATTTTCACGAAAGCAACTACGATGGTAGTTCCTGCTGGAAACAGTCAGTTGCTCAAAACGAAATATAGTTTCTCCACATAGATCACACAAAGGGAGTCCCTCTGCTCGTTCACACTAGAAACATATTATGTAAAATCTACAAGGGTATACCAAATATGATAGGTTTTTATCCGGATACGTATCTGGATATATTTGATGTGAAAATTTACAAGCAGGAATGACTGTGCATTATAATACATACCTGAGGACCTTCTAATTAATGCCCCATACAATCTAGAAACGTAATCAACTATGTGCTTTTCATCCACATCTTCAAATACTATAACTTTTGGACTTATCAGCACCGGGATATTTAATTTTGTTTCTGCGACGAAAAACGCCTAAGATATTTAGTCATACATGATACACAAATAGTAACTAACCAACTCGATATTTTTTACAGCATCTTCAGACTTCAACTGAGGAAAATCTCTTTAGAAAAATTGTGATCAAATTCACTATCCTATTAAACCTACATAAGATCAGGGAAATGTTTGTGAATTAAAGCACAAAACGCCAGACCGTCTTTCCATGATGTTGTGAAATCAGTAATCTTGATATGTGGATAAACCTTGGTTTGCTCAATGCACCAATTCAGGAGATACTGAGAAGAGCTATCCTTCATTAGCTCTATCTCAAGAATTCAACATGAGTTAATAAAGTTACGAAATTGATTAAAATGTAAGTTCATCGAACACTAGTGCATTTAAAGAACTTAATTGCCAATGTCCCTAAAACTAGGTCAAATGTTATAAATGTGATAATCACGATAGATAATCTCATTTTAAAAACATATGTGGGGCCCAATGGAATACAATCATCTTGTAAGTCTAATGATCGAGCTGTTAATACTCTAGCATAGCTTATTCTCAGGAACCTTGTTAAATACTTGGACGAACGTTTGGTTCTCTTGTTAAAGTAGTACAGTCTAAAATAAGGCTATTCTTATCCTCCGAGCTTATTAGTAGATCCACTAACTTGCTGTGCTCCTAAAAATAAAGGCTGCCTACATATGTAGCTTTTATGTACTTCAACTAGGTTTTTGACCAAGTTCCACAATCTTGTCTCTAATCCAAGCAATTTCGAAATATTAGTATTGGGTTGAACTTCAGTTTATGCATAAAGAATTTTCGGGTGCTGACGTGAAGTAGGGGTTGAACCTAAACTGTCCATTTCGAACATATGCTTACTGGAGTGCAACATGGTCATTCTAGGACCAGCGATAACCATTCTGTATGCAGATATGCTTCTTAGTCTCCTATCAACTCTAGGTTTGTTAAATGCTGGTAAAACACCTAGAGCGATAAGAAATGAAGGTGATGTTTGAGAGTTTCAGAATGACCTACTGGAATAATCCGGATGTTCTAGAATTTGCCAGTTGAGGAAAAATGTTTCCAAGTGAATTGCACCGTATATTAGTCACTAGGATAGAGATACGTATATGATGAGCACTTTTAAGCTGCCCGTTGTCTATACTCACACTGACTGAAGAGTCACTGTCAGTGAAAACTCGAAAACTACTGCAGACTAAAGAGTAATCTTTTCTTAACCTTCTACTGACAAAATGAAGCTACTAGCCACGCATCTGTTAAGACCTCGCTGACATCGCTTGACCAAAACTAGAACGGTATACACAAAGATGTAACCTCCATCTGATGACGATAGTGGAATTGCAAAGATTCCACTGGTCAAACTGGACCTACTCTAATTTTTATACGGAGGAATCAGAAGCGACTTGGTTACATATTTTGCATTACACAGAAACAATTTTGTGTCTTATTTGCCTTCATTAGTTTAGGCTTCCAAAACAGTCAATTTATTAGGAAAATCCCAACTTTCGAACCAATTGCTTATCGGCTAAGTGATGACTTTCCTATAGAGTGAAATCCTCAACAGTTGGTTGAACATCGGTCTGCCGGAAGAAATTTATACTATTTGAAAGACCCTCAGTGCCTGGACCAGCACAGGATCTTGAGACTTCTATTCTTCTGAAGTCTAAATAGGATCTGACGCGGGTGTGCTCTGCCTGATAGGACGATGCGTTGCATTCATGAAGGAATGCTGCTTTCTAATCACTTCAAAGAAAGCCAACTAAGGGTAGCGATAACGAACAACAAAATATCTGCATTTGATCAAATATCTATATTATAACAAACTCTGACTGGAGCCCCTCTGGAGCTACTTCCTGTTGTAAGTCCTTTCCCTTTATCCTGATGCTCAACTGGATTATGAAGACATCAGCATATGGAGAGAAGCACGGGATACAGTGGACAATGAGAATGCAGCCGGAGGATCTGGACGTCGCAGATGATATAGTTTTCCCATCCCACAGGCAACAAAAAATGCAGGAGAAGACGACTGGTTTAGCAGCAGCATCAGCAGGTCTAAACATATGTAAAGGGTAAAGCAAGATTCTTCGATACAACACAAAATGTGCCGACTAAATCGTTCTAAATGGAGGTGCCTAGGAGGATATAAAAGCCTTTACATATCTGGGCAAAATCATTGACGAGCACAGCGGGTCCGATGCATATGTGAAGACACAGATCGGCAAAGTAAGATCTTTATTTCTACAACTGAACAACATCTGGAACTCCAGACGAATATCAAACAACACCAATATCAGAATGTTCAATACAAATGTCAGGACAATTCTACTGTATAGGGCGAAAACTTGGAAAACTACCAAAGGCATCATCCGTAAGAGACAAGTATTCATTAACAGTTTTCTGTTGGCCAGACACCATAAGAAGCAATCCACTGTGGGAGAGAACAAAACAGATTTCGACGGAAGAGGAAATCAGGCAAGAGCGCCGTAACTGGATAGGAAAAGCACTGAAGAAAGCACATAGCTCCGTCATAAGTCAAGCCCGAGATTGAAATCCTCTAGGACAAAGTTCAAGGAACAAATATGGCTGAAAAATGGGGACAGACATGCAAAGAATGAACAAGAATTGGACAGAACTGGTTAGAGTGGTCCAGGACAGAGTAGGTGGTAGAACAATGGTCGAAGTATCTTTGCAGTTACTGCAACGTTTGATTCATTGCATCAGCTTGAATGTTTTTTGGTCCCTCTGGTTGCCGCATTTGATTTGTGTGATGGATAATCGGATCCGTTCAATTGTGGGAGGGGGGTCAACATCAATTTGGAGGTGCATGGATGCTGCTTCGATGTTTGGTGGGTTCAGTAAAGCTGGTCGATTCAAGGTTTCGTCAAAGTGATCCAACCACCTGTTTCTCTGTTCGTCAATGTTGGTGATTACTTTGCCTTCCTCACTTTTCACTGGCCATTCTAGTTTACGAAAGTTTCCAGCAAGAGACTTTGTTGTATCGTAAAGTCGTATCAAATCTCCTTTTGCAGCTCATTCCGCCGTCATTGATAGACCTTCCAACTAGTTACGTTTGTCAGCTGTGATGCTCCTTTACTTCTGCTTGTTTGCTTCTTGTATTGGGCTTGTGCCTTGACTTTCTCTGCTTTTGTTCAGGTGATGCTGATTGCTGCCATCTTCTTCCACCTTTCTTGACATTTGTTAAGAATACCATCCATTCCTTGTGATGGTGCTATTTTTGAACCAGAACCTCCTGACCTGTTGAAGTTATTGCCTTCTCGATCCCTTTCCAGGGGTTTGCCATGGTAGTTTCCTTTCCATTGAGTAGAACATGAAAGGCCTGAAACAACATTGCTGAGGGTTATACTGAATTGGTTGAGTTTGTCAGTATACTGAAGAAAGGTAGCATTAAGCTTTTGAGATGTTGCTCACCTTGTTTTCCAGTGCTACTTGAGTTTCACTTTCATTTTGGCGACCAGCATGTGATGATATGGGGTCATATCACCCCCTCTCCTGGTTCTCACATCTTCCATGATCCTACTAAAAGTTTTATTTATACAGATACGGTCGATTTGGATCTGAGCAACCTGGAACAGTCTTCCGGTCTTCCATATTGTTCAAACATACTATGTACCAAGAAGAATGATTGCTCTGTTTTTCAGAAGGGACATCTACCTCGTGACACCCGAAGGAACTTGGATCCCATCACGAGACTTCATAACTCTTCTGAATGGAGACCTACTAACTCCTAGAGCAGAGTTTAAGTGACTTGAATTAATTTTTCTGATTGGTGTTGTTTTAGAGAGTTAGTTTTCTACGGGATAGGTGATAAGTTCGTCACTTAGTATGCTTGAGGCTATTACGAGTTTACCTTAGTCGATAAACGCGAACGAGACTTTTACCAGCTTCCAGGGAGGCTACCTTGAATACCCAAAATCGAATAGAAGGCTTTGTAAGCGTAGAAAGTATATTCTACAAACACCCAGCAATCACAGTACAATCAAGCATACAACTCTCGTTTATTTATACAACATAAGAACGTCCTTGAGACAGTTAAGAAAATAGCATACTAAAATACACTGCAGCCAATCACAGCCATTGATTTTGCTGGTGGGAATTGAAATCTCAAGGTCATCTGATCAGCCCATGCTGGCGAAACGTGAAAACCAAAATACGGCATTATCAAGCGAATTTTGAGGATCTAACATCCCCAACACTCCTCCCCTTTTTAATAGCATGTTCTCCTGGGGTCGACTTGCATCTTGACTATTGTTCGCCGCTGTCTGAGGGGATACCTTCGGGAACGAAGAACAGCTTGCTGCTGAGTTTCTTCTCGTGGCGGGGCTCTCGGTAGGTTGAAGGTATCAAGCAAGATGTCAAGGGGAAGGCTTTCTGCTCTTGATGGGCGATCTGGGACTAGCCGTCTGCGTATCTGATTCCGATGACGTGACCATTTATCACCTCCTACCTCTACTTCGTACATAACTCGACCAACCCTTCTGACCACTCTCGCTTCTACCCAAGGACCATGGTTCGTTCTGTAGTCGCGGGCAAACACAGGGCATCCCACCTCGTAAGCGGATTGTCTTTGCTGCTTTGTCTCTACTGATGAGGGTGCATTGGTCGGATGCATCAGGCTGTGGATCGTTTTCAATCTTCTTCCCATCAGGATTTCAGCTGGGGACTTTTGCTCCGGTAACAATTCATTTGGTGTTGTCCGATAGACGTACAAGAAATTTTGTAACGTTTCGGCTGGCGTCCCCTCCCCTTTTGACTTGAGCAGTGCTCTTTTAAACGTATCCACAAACCTTTCCGCCTGCCCATTCGATTGCGGGTGGTATGGTGGCGAGCGTAAGTGTTTAATGGCTAGCCGTTGACAGAAATTCTGGAATTGGGAAGAGGTGAATTGAGAGCCATTGTCGGATACGATCACATCTGTTATGCCATTTCGTGAGAAAATTTCAGTTAGGAGCTGTAAAGTCTTAGTTGTAGTGGGCGGCATAACGGGGCTGATTGCCGGCCATTTAGAAAAGGCGTCGACGACAATTAAATACATAGTTCCACTTACTGGGCCAGCGAAGTCGACATGTATCCTGGACCAAGGATGCTCAGGTTTGGGCCATGAAACCGGTGGAATTTTGGCATTCATCTTTGCCGCCTGCTGACACCGCATGCATTTTTCAACCAACGTGTGACATGTTGATCCATGTGAGGCCAGTATGCATAACTCCTGGCTATGGACTTCATTCGTTTAATCCCAGGATGACCAAGATGGAACTGTCTCATCACTTTTGCACGAAGGGATTCTGGCACCACTACTCTTTCACCAAACATCAGACAATCGTTCACGATGCATAGTGACTC